TCTGGGGGACGGGGGCCCTCCCCGACCTGCCCTGGCTCCGTGCTGCCTCTGCCCAGGCCGGTTGGGAGGGGGCCCGGCCTGACACACCCCACACCCCCGCCCCGCTCTGCCGCAGTGAACGGGACGGTGCGGGAGGAGCTCATCGCCAGCAAGACGAGCGAGGAGATCGCGCAGCTGGCCACCAGGCTGGCCGGCCAGTCCGGCCTGGACATCGTCCGCATCCGCAAGCCCTTCCACACCGACAACCCCAGCGTCCAGGGCCAGTGGCACCCCCTCACCAACAAACCCTCCGCCCTCACCATCCAGGGCCCGCGCCTGCAGCCCCAATAAAGCCTCCGCCCCGCGCCTCCGCGTCCGCCTCTCCTCCCGCCGCCCGCAGAGAGATGCCGCCACGCCACGTCCAGACAGAGCCGCGTTTATTGCCAGGGGGCACGGGGGGCTGTGCCCGAGGGGCACCAGACACGGAGGACGATGCCCCTCCTTGGGGGAGGGGTGTGCTTGGGGGTGGCTCATCCCCCCCTTGCAGCAAAAACAAGGGTGGGGGCAGGATGGGAGAGCCTGGGCGTCCGGCCCTTGCCTCTTCCCCACTAAGCCTCGCTCTTCTGGGGCAGGAGGGCCTGGGCTCCAGTCCATTATGGACCCCTGGGGCTGCCCCCCCCTCCTGCCCCCCCTGCAGGGCTAAGCTCCGGGCGATGTCCTGATCCTGGAGGTGCCAGCAAGGAACACAGAGGGGAGGACATACCCCCCAGCAAGTCTGTCCCTCCCTGGCTCCTCTGGTGTCACCTCCCTGTCCCCAGGGTGTGAGACGCTCCTGTCACCCCAGTCCCTCGGGTTCCCCCAGGCGGCGGCAGGAGCAGAGGTAGTTGGGGGGATCTGCATCCCCCCAGGATGGTGGCTGCCCCTGGAAAGTGCCATGAAGAGCAGGAGGCCCCAGAGGGAGGCAGGCCCTTGTCCAGGGCTCCTCCTCGCTGTGCAAGGACGTTTCCCTTCCCATGTGTTGTCCCACGGGGGACGGGGCTGCGCCTGAACCCCAGTTCTCTGACGGCACCACGCAGGAGGGCAGAAACACCTGGTTCCCAGGGCCGAGGGGCACTGCGGACGTTGGGGCATGCGGGTGCTGCGCTGGTCCCTTGCCACGCTGCAGGGCACGGCGGTGGCTGGTGGTCCTGCTGCCAGTGCCATCTTGCTGCCTGCTGCCGCATCCTGCTGTTCCCCTGCAGCGCCCTGGGGAGAGGGGGCAGAGCCCTGTCAGGGTCGGAGGCCCCGGGGGTGCCACCTCCCCAGGGCACCCAGCCCTGCATTTCACCTGGGGCCTCCTCGCAGAGGGCACGCGCCGCTCCACCAGCTGCTCCGGGGCGTTCGGGGACGTGGGCTCCTTGCCCTGGCTCTGTCCCTCGCCGAACCGTCCTCTCCCAGAGAGGAAACCCTGGGGGGGGCAGACGTGGGAGAGCGGGCAGGGGCTGGCAGCCACCGAGCCCACCCCCCCCCCAGTAACACGAGATGCGTCCACGGCCCCTATCCTGCCTGCAAGCAGGCAGCTGGGGGAAATATACCCCCGGCCCCGCGCCAGGAAGGGAACCCGCACCCTGCGAGAGGCGCAGGCACCGCGCGGCAGCCCCCAGCCCCCCTCCCTGCTCCTCACCCACCTCTCAGCAGCCATCTGGCTCCCATGCGCCGAGGGATGCCCAGTGGGGCAGGCCGAGTCAACACGTCCACAACAGCATCTCTCTCTCACGCCTGGCCGGACGGACAGACAGAAACTCTCCCTCCCCCCGGTGTCCACCTTCAGCCAGGCGTCAGCTCCTGCCTCCAGCTCGTGGCCGCCGTCGGTGGGTTTTTATACATAAATAGAGCTCCCAAATTTAAATAGATTCTTTTTCTTTTCTTTTTTTCTGTACAGCGAGTCTGAAAAGTGAGTGAAAAGCCAAAGGAACGGCCGAGCCCGGGCCCGGCCCGGCTCTGCCGTCCAGGAGGTAGTTTCGCCTGAGTCTTGTAACACTGCTGGCAGGGGGTGGGAGAAGGGGCCGGAGGGGAGGAGGGTCCCGCTGGCAGGACGCCCCCCCCGGCCCCTACACGGAGCTCTCGTCCAGCTTCTCCACCAGCTGCGTGTGTTTCCGCTTCTCCAGGATCTTGCTGAGCTCCTCAGTGAAGGACGCGCTGTAGAGCGGCGAGGCCAGCGGCTCCTCCTGCTGCTGCAGCAGCATGTAGCTGTTGCCATTCATCTTGCGGAGGACGTTGGGCAGAGCCCCCATGCCGTTGGTGAGCTCGGCCGGCAGCGGGGGTGGCGGCGGCAGCGGGGGCACGGCAGCCGGCAGCTCCTTGACCGGGGAGGTGGCAGCCGTGGGCGCCTCGCCGGGGATGATCCGCAGGCAGCCGTCGGGGTAGGCGAGCTCTTCCTCCTCCTCCTCCTCCTCCTGGCGGCCCTTGCGCAGGCAGTTGGCCGAGACAGTCTGCAGCTCCACGCTGGCTGGCCGCGCCTCCCCCAGGACGTACTTGCCCTTGCGCTTCTCCAGGCAGGACACGTAGAGGAGGACGGTGCTGAGCACGGTGCACAGCACCACCAAGGCGACGATGGCGGAGATGTAAGCCACCTTCATGTCGCCAGCCGCCTGGCTGGCAGCGTGGGGCCGGGGGGCGGCCGTGTGGCCCCGGGGCAGCTCGGGCAGCACAGTGAGGCTGTAGGCGGCCAGCAGCGTCCGGAGATCCCGCTCCTCCCCGTAGCAGCGGTACTCGCCACTGTGCTGGGGCAGCGTGTCCGTCACCAGCAGCCCGTCCACCCCCACGCGCAGCCGGTCCTGCCCTGCGCCTGGCGCCTCGCTGCCGTTCACCAGCCAGACGGCTCGTGCCAGGTTGGAGCGCTGGTCGCAGGGCAGCAGCACGTCGTCCCCCTGCAGCACCGTCCGGTTCTTCCACGGCAGGGAGCCTGCGGAGACATGCACCGCCTCGCACCCGTCCTGGCCACCCTAAGGGACACCGGACGCCGGCATCCCCTGCAGTCCCAAGGGGCGGCGCAGACTCACCCCGCCCGGAGCTGCTCCGGCATCCCTCGTTGCCGCTCTGAATGTCCTGCACCAGCCCCGTGCTGCAAGACATGGGGGGCTTCAGCCATACAGCCCCAGCTGAGCCCACCCTTACGGGGTCACGGCCACCGGGAGACCGGCCGCCAGATGCCAGACCCTTGGGGGTGGCACTGGGGTGACTGTGCCACGGGGTGATGTGCAACAGCATGGGATGGGCCGGGTGGAAGGCTCGTGGGGACCCCACTGGGGACAGGCAGCCCATCCCTACCTGTCGGCGGTGGCGGTGGCACAGCAGGCCCTGCCGTCCCAGGCGCAGTAGGGGTCCCGGGCGAGGATGCAGTCGTAGCAGGAGGCGTACCTGGCGCAGGAGGCCAGGGGCACCTGCAGGATCCCGCTGGCTGCCCCCACATACAGGCTCCTCTGGGGGGGAAAGGGCTGGCTCAGCACTGCCCTGGTACGGTGTGGCTGGGCTATGGGGTGCCCCATGGAGCCCAGAGATCCCCCCCAGCCCCACAGCACAGCTCTCCCTTAGTGGGGTGCACGGGGAAGGACCCCCAGCTCCAGTCAGTGCCGATGGCCACAGCTGGCACCTGGCAAGGAGGTGGGGTCCAGGCTGGTCCATTTCCCCAGGCTGCCCCACTGGGCTCTGCCGCGTATCCTGAGCTGGGGTGACCCAGTAGTCATGTCCTCCCGGTCCCCCAAACAGCCTAATGGCAGCTTTGCAGCACAAACGTGCCCCGTGTGTGATGTCCCCCGACTTCTTCCACCCCTCACCTGGGCATGGGAGATCACCAGGCTCTCCACGGGCTGGGGGTCCCTGAACACCTGCACCTCCTCCACGATGTGGATGCCAGAGCCCACCACCACGGCCTTGTGGATCCAGCCATCCCCTGGAGAGCAGAGCAGGGTGTCAGGAGGGAATGTGGGCAGTGCCCCCTGCCCAGCAGAGACCCGGCAAACTCATCCCGTGCTCACCTGTCCCCATGAAGAGCACATCGTAGGAGCGGCCGTTGAGGCCCCGCACCCTGTCCACAGCCAGCCGGCTGTACGCCACGCTCTTCTTCACCAGCAGTGGCTCCCCGCCAGCCGGCTTCACCTCCTCGAACATGAGCGGGTGCAACTTGACGAAGTCCAGGACACTGTTGGGCAGGTCCTGCGAGGAGTTGTAGCCCTTCCTGCGGGAGTGGTCCGTGATGCACTGCCCAGGGGAGACGGGGGTCAGGGGGGGATGCGGCCACCCCATGCCCCCCCTGCTCCGCACCCCCGGGCACTCACGGAGCCAGGCCGGGGCTCGGGCACCGCACCGTCGTAGCGGGACCACTTGCGAGCCGAGTCCTGGTACTCCATGTAGGGGCCCTCGAAGGCGCGCTGCACCGCCGAGATGCTGTAGCGGCACACGGCTGAGGCCTCCATGGTCCTCCTGGCGGGCAGAACCCCACCTGAGCCCAGGCAGACACATGGGTGCTCCCCACCGACGCACCCCCAGGTGCTCAGCGCCCGCCTGTGCATCCCCTCGAGCATCTCCGGTCCCCCCTGCGCCGCAGACTTTTAGCCCCAGCTGTTTCAGCCGCTGCCCTTCTCACCACTGCGCCGAGAGGGTGAAGGCAGCGTAGAAGACGGTGCTGGCCCAGCCGCCCCCGTCCAGGCTGCAGACGCTGCGCAGCACCTCGTAGTAGGGGATGTAGCAGACCAGGCGCGCCTTCATGAAGGATGTCCACTTGCGCTGCAGGATCTTCTTCCCCCCCACGTCGCTCTGGGAGGGTGCAGGGAGCATTTCTGCACAAGCTGGTGGGGGCGTATGTCCCCCTCTGCCTGTGCCTCAGTTTCCCCCAAGGTGCAGGCACGCAGCCCCTGCACTGGGAGGAGCAGTGCTTGGCTCCCTGTGGCTGGGGACATGCCTACCTTGCAGACACGGGCCACCCGGGCCACTTGGGTCACCTGGCTCTTGTCGAAGAAGGACGTGGTCTCCTCACCCGCCCGCTCCATGAAGAAGTAGTAGATTTTGTCATCGTCTCCCACGGGGCTGTCCTTGCTCTCCCGGACCAGCACGGAGGCCACGAACTCGGCATCTGGGGGACACGGAGCGAGAGGTGGAGACTGGGGACCCACCACGGGATGGGGGATCCCTCCCTGCCTCGGTTTCCTCTCATGGCAAACCACACAAGACCCCGGGGCCACCCCCCACCCCTGTTCCACGCTCCCCGAGGTGATGCATGGCGTCCCATGGCGCCGGTCCTGGGGAGGGACCGGGACGTCTCACCGTTCAGCCAGTGCAGCGGGGACTCCTCCGTCTTTAGCGGCCGCTGGTGCAGGTTCCTCCGGATGT